TTGCTTTCTCAAAAGCTGGGCTGCTCAGAGACCACGAGGGTCTATCTCAGAAATCGAAGAGGCGTTTGCTTTCTCAAAAGCTGGGCTACTCAAAGACCACGAAGGCCGATCTCAGAAATCGAAGAGGCTTGCTTTCTCAAAAGCTGGGCTGCTCAGAGACCACGAGGGCCGATCTCAGAAATCGAAGAGGCACCTACTTTTCCAGCCTTGTCAGCACCTGTCACACGCACACTCAGCTTTGCGGAAATTATGGGCATTCTGTCGAAGATTTCTGGCGAAGTAGAAAGCACATGAATCGTACTGTTCAATCACCCACTTCCCACACGCAACAGTAACTCATGGGTACCACAGACAACTTTGCCAAAGTTCTCTGACAAAGTTGAGACACGTGAAGCTTGCAGCTCCCGCTACATCGCTCTGACCAAGAAGAGTAAAAGAATTGCAAAGAAACAACACTAACAAAGTTTAGACACATAAATTTTGAAGGTCTAGCTACCATATTATTACCCACAAGGGTAAAGGAACAGTACCACTGCTGGATAATTTGAAAGTCCCGGTGTGTCAACCTCTGTGCTTCGTGGCAAGGTAGACTAGCAAACATGCCCAACCTTTACTCACATTCGAGAAAACACTCCCAACAGGATTGCTTGCTCCAAAATTGAAGAGGCACCGCCCTCCGAATCTCGAGAGCCAGACTCCCAACATGATTACTTTCTCAAAAATCGAAGAGAGGGTAAAGGAACAGTACCACTGCTGGATAATTGAAAAGTCCCTGTGTGTCAACCTTTGTGCTCCGTGGCAAGGTAGACTAGCAAACATGCCCAACCTTTACTCACATTCGAGAAAACACTCCCAACAAGATTGCTTGCTCCAAAATCGAAGAGGCACCGCCCTCCGAATCTCGAGAGCCATACTCCCAACATGATTACTTTCTCAAAAATCGAAGAGAGGGTAAAGGAACAGTACCACTGCTGGATAATTGGAAAGTCCCTGTGTGTCAACCTCTGTGCTTCGTGGCAAGGTAGACTAGCAAACATACCCAACCTTTACTCACATTCGAGAAAACACTCCCAACAAGATTGCTTGCTCCAAAATCGAAGAGGCACCACCCTTCGAATCTCGAGAGCCAGACTTCCAACATGATTACTTTTTCAAAAATCGAAGAGACCGCTCTCCGAATCTCGAGAGCCAGACCCCCAGCAGGATTGCTTTCTCAAAAATCGAAGAGGCATCGTTCTCCGAATCTCGAGAGTCAGACCCCCGACAGGATTGCTTGTTCGAAAACCGAAGAGGCACCACTTTCCCAACTTCAAGAGCTGGATCTCCTTGGATAAAGCTTGTCTGTAATCTTCACATGCAACATCAGCTTTCCAGATACCACAGACCACTTTTTCAAAGTGCTCTGACAGAGTTAAAACATGTGAAGCTGACAGCTCCCACTACCGTGCTATGACCAAGCAGGGTAAAAGAATAGCATTATTACTTGATGTTAGGGAGACTCCTATATATGTCGACCTTCATCCCTAACGGACAGGCAGACCTGCAAAAATGCTCAACCCTTTCTCTTATCTGAGAGGGCACTCCCAACGAAGCCTTTCGAAATATTCAGCTTTCTTTCCCCCGGATAATACCTCTGTAAACAAGCTATACTAGAGCAAGAATATCTCATATCATCAGGGTTAAAAGCAAGAGTATCCCATATCATGCTTTTTCCCTGTCTTTTCCTTTGGCCTTGTTCTTACCTGCAAGACAAGGAGAAAGAGAGCAATCAGTCAGCACTTGGAATCAAGCTTCCAGCCAGGAACTGACTGCCTGGAACCCCTTACCTGATTACTTACCTGGCATTGCTCTCGAGTACTCATCTTCAACATCTTATGCTTCCAGGGAAGATACCGCATATGCCTGAGGAACAGATAGGGCAAGTGAGAAGGATACAAGGAAGCATGTGGAGACAAGCGTAACAGCACACGTGCCGATACATCCACTACTCTGTCAAAAGCAAAAGTATCCCATATCAGCAGGGTCGAACGTACTCTAGATTTGATGGACTTGTTTTGACCCTCAAATTCTTCAGTCGGCCTTATACTCTAGGGGTGCGTTTGGTACGCAGACGGGACGGGACGGAACGGGACGGAACGGAACGGAACGGGACGGGACGAAAGGGGACGGGACGGAACGAAGGTGTAATTTTTGAAAAAAACATGGGGTATATTTGTCTTAAAATGGTAAAACATTGTGTTCCACAGACGTGGAACAAACCCGTTCCAGGGGGGGAGGTGGAACGCAAAAACACCCAAAATCTGTCCCGTGGAACAGCCCGTTCCACCCATTTTTGGCGCACCAAACACGGGACGGAACGCCTCGTCCCGTTCCGTCCCGTCCCGTCCCACGTACCAAACACACCCTAGAGGAAACCAGAAAACCCTTCAGCCCTGTTCAAGAATAAGCCTGTGGAAAGTTACTTCTTCAAAAGCAAAAGTATCCCATATCATCTCTTCTCATTTTTCTTCTCTTTATCCTTCATGCTGCCTGCAAGATAGGGAGAATGTGAACAATCAGCCGGAGCTCTGATTGCTTACCTTGTCTGTCACCTCTTTCAGCAGATCCCCTAGCCCGGCGACTTGGGGGACTCCTACTACATGGTTTGTATCGCGCTTGACCAAGCCTGAAACTACAAGTAAGCTTCAAGTGAAATTGATACATTACCTTGTGCATCTCCACCAGTTACAGATACCACCCCTGGATGGAGGAAGAGTACTTCTAGAGAAGATGCCACATCTACCTATGAGACAGATAAGGCAAGTCAAGACGATACCACATTCCGGTACTTAGAAGTTTCGTGGTTACGAGATCATTCTCCCACAATATTTCCTAATGTCATTTGTACTAAATCATTCACTTGTACTCACTAAAGGAGAGCTTGAACCTATGTACTTGTGTAAACCCTTCACAACTAATGAGAACTCCTCTATTCCGTGGACGTAGTCAATCTGGGTGAACCACGTACATCTTGTGTTTGCTTTCCTATCTCTATCCATTTATATACTTATCCACACTAATGATCGGAGCAATCTAGCGAAGATCACAAAAAGTGACCGTTTTCGCTACCTAAGATCTATCTTGCAAGAGAACGGAGAATTAGATGGAGATCTCAACCATAGAATACAAGCTGGATGGATGAAGTGTAAGAGTGCATCCGGCGTGTTGTATGACCGTCGTAGGCCACTGAAGCTCAAGGGAAAATTTTATAGGACGGCAATAAGGCCAGCGATGTTGTATGGCACAGAATGTTGGGCGGTGAAGCATCAACACGTACACAAAATGGGTGTAGCGGAGATGAGGATGCTTCATGGGATGTATGGGCACACGAGAAAGGATAAGATTGGGAATGAGGATATCCGAGGCAAAGTAGGAGTAGCCAAAATTGAAGGAAAGATGAGAGAAAATCGGTTACGGTGGTTTGGACATGTGTAAAGAATGCCTACTGACGCCCCGGTTCGAAAATGTGACTACGGGACAGAGGTTCAGGGCCGAAGGGGTAGAGGAAGACCTAGGAAAACTTTGGAAGAGACCCTAAGAAAAGACTTGAGTACTTGGATCTAACGGAGGACATGACACAAAACCGAGCGCAATGGCGTTCTAGGATTCATATAGCCGACCCCACTTAGTGGGAAAAGGCTTTGTTGTTGTTGTTGTACTTGTATAAAAACACGTAGTGTACCATTTGTGTTCTCATCACAACTAAAAATTTATCTTGGACTTGAGCTCGTGGGCAATGGCCAATGTCATCAACGATGTCAGCAACAAACGAAGGGCCCCCAACTTGCAAGCCACAGAGCCAAACAACTCTTTTATTTGTGCTCTTTAACCGCTGAATTCCAATGGCCCCTTGATTTAGACCGTTGGATTTTCAAAGGTAAACAAATTTTGCAAAAGAATTTGCTGCTACCATGTGGCGCAATCTGAGGCATCCAACGGTTTAAAAATCAACCAGGATAAATTTAATGGTAAAAAATACAAAAAAAAAAACCCAATAAAAAAATTCTATATATAAATACCCAACAATCTTCTTCATTTCCCACAGCATAACTCAATATTTTTTTTTACTACAACTCCTATATTTGTTTTCTACTTCCCAATTCCTTTTGTTACCCAAAAAAAAAAAGAGTAAGAGGGCAATTAGTTGATCAAGGAAGACGTTGCTTCGCTTAAGTGTTGAGTGCGTGTTACTCATGATCCATGAAAATGAGATGATGGTGCAACAAATATGGACGAAATTCATGCACAATTTGTCAAGCAAATTAAGGGCACATCTCGGATCGAGCAATTTCTATTATGTAGGCCCTCATAAGATCGGAAGCAATTTATCGAAGTGGCAATAATCTTTCAAACGGGGTAATAACATTTTATTATTAAAAAAAATCAAATGTATTATGTAATTTATTATTTTGTTTCACAATTCTTTTTTCAACAACTACAAGCATAAATGTGGTTCAATCTTGATAACAACAAAAAGATCATTCATAAAGCAAGAAGGTCGAAACGTTGTGAAGCATACTCTGAAATACAAAATTGTTGCCATACGTTGTGAAGCATACTCCAAAGTCCAAGCTACTAAGAATAATATTATTTTAACTTCTTTGGTGGGTTGTAATGCTATGCTTTTGTCTTGTATTTGAAATAAATTACTGAAATTAGGAAATCGTTTTATTTTCATAGAACAAACTTATAAAGCATAAAAAATATATATGTGAATAGTATCATTGCCCTTCACAAAAGAGTGGACTTGCACAAAGATAATTATTGTTAAGAGTGAATAGTAAGAGCAAATTCATTGCCCTTACCCCTTGCCTTGCTCTTGCCCTCCTAAAATGGATGGACTCGCTCTTAGCCCAATCTAAAACTATACGAATGTTGGATGATATATGATTAGGATCGTGGGACACCAATCTTTTCAGACATTTTGACCTCACATGACATGACGGGGATTATTAATATAGCTAAGACATTGTGATCTCTACTTGTTCTGCAATGTCATCCTCCTCCTGACCTTGAAAAGAAGATGACAGTGGAGAAGATCTAGAAAAAGAAGAAATGGCAGAAGAAAAAGAGGTGGAATAATAATCATTAGGATGAGAAGGAGCAGCTGCAGCAGCAGAAAGAGCAAGAAGGAGATCCACAAATGCTGCCACTATAAAGCCATGGTTGCTCTTCTGGTTGACCTTCAAATACCATCCCAACAACTCCTCCAAACCCTCCCAATCTTTACTAAGCCCATGACATTCCACCATCTCCTCCATTGACCTCCTAAAATCTTTCAACGGATCCTCCGATTCCATGCTGGCTAACACCACCACGTACTTTTCCTTCAACAACGGATTCATCATCTCTCCTCCGCCGGCGCCTTTCGCCTTTTGTACCATGGAGCTCGTGTCTTCCGCCTTGAAAAACAGCCTTTCGGATCTTGCCCCTCGGACAACCACCGTATCCAAGGACTCCTCTCCGTCCTCATGATCACACTCGGTTGTTGACTGATTATCTGAGGAGGAGGAGGAGTTTATGAACCAAGACTGATCAGCTCCTCCTTCCGTAACTGGATCGAACAAGACGGAGTTGTCAGTCTTGAACATGTTGTCACTGCCACTCCCACTGCCGGCTCGGAAGGAAAGCGTCTTGGGGTGGTTGCAAGAGGGCCAGTACTGCCATGGCACTGCCGATGTTGTTTCCTTCTTTTTGAAGAGACGAGGCAACTTCATGGGAAGGATCCAATCCAAGACGTCCGTCGGAGAGCTTACAAAGTTGGTTGGTTTCGATCGGGAATCTGGGATGTTTGTTGTGAAGTTTGTGATGGCATTAATAATAATGTGATAGATAATATATAGAGGTGGCCAGTTACAACTTACGATAAGAGGGAGACGAGTAATATATGGGGTTTTGCTGACGATGGTGGTGGTGGTGGTAGGGCCTTTTCATGTGTGTATTCAATTCCTCGTTAGTACGATATTGAATGGTGTTGAATGCCTTCCCCATCAAAATCATAAATTTTTTAGTGTGGCGGGAACACGTTTCAATATATCAAGTGTTATAATATAAATAGTTATCAAGTCGTATTTTCGGCATACTGAAAAATCTTTACATCAAAACAACTCAACAAAAGAAGTGATTTTTTACACACCATTTTTAACCTTCTACAAGCTCTTATTTAATTCTGGTCTTCGTTTTTATTTGATTTATTCAATCCGATAACTATAAATAAAAAGGAGTGTGAGAAGCTAAAAACAATGTGTGAAAGTCACTTCCTAATAAATATTCTATGGAGGATTTTTATCCGTTAGATCTTGATTTTTCTATTTTTAACCAAAGATCTAATGGTTAAAAAGTAAGAGGATTTGAATTGATATTTCCAACTTTACTAATACTATACTTACCGTACCATCAATTAAAAACTTTTTAATAAACTAATAATTATGAAAAAGTTGGTAAATTAAAAGATGATTGTGGTGTACAAGGATTTCCCCTTTCAATTCTAGTTCTCACTTTCCCCAGTTTTTTTTTTTTCCACGCCAGTCGTCCAATAATTATGCTTCTTTCTTCCCATAAACCCTTTTATTTGATTGTATTGAAACTGATTATGATCATACGGTCAGTTGTCTAATATTTCTATTTCTTTAGAAAAAAATAAAAAATAAATAAAAGCTCTTCTTCTTTTTCGGAGGCTATTACAAAACTGACGTGTAAAAGAAGAAATCAAACATAACCGAGCAAAATTCATATGACCTATTTAAGAGGGACAACTGCGTACGTACGGACGTACGTACCTTCTACGGCATCAAGGATTCCACATATACGCCAAAGTTGCTACATGATTCCGTTGAGGGATACTTCAAATAATTTTGTTAAGGGACACCTTGTGATGCTCATTCTATAACTTTTTTTCAACAATCCAAACAGTCTATAATTTAGTACATCATTCATAAATTATTTTGCAAAAATATTGATAAACCTAAAACTATTAAGATATTCAATTATAGGGAAGAAAATAGACGAATACTGTTTTTCAAAGAAACACTATAACAACTTCTAGTTAATCCAACAGTTAAATGATTTTGAATTTGGTGATTTTTGTAGAATTTAATGCTCAAATAATAAATGGGACTTGGTAGTATTGTTAGTGTTGATTATTAGAGCAAGTCCACATGTAGCCCTATTAACAAATGCAACTGGGTTAAATTGCCCTTGGCCCGGAAAGGGCCCGCTTGCCATCCACTAAGAGCACTTCCACCATTGGGTTGAGCCCCATGGACTATCCCCATTTGCAACCCAATCATCTCCCTTTCATACTCCAGCCCATTCGGGCAATTGGGCTAAGGGGGAGCCCGTGGGAAAGGGTAGGCGGCAGTCCAAGGCCCGAGTGCCTGAGGGCTATGTGATGTAAGGCTAACGTCAGCCATGCTATAAAAAAAATTTGCGTCAGGCGCGTGTATAACACGCATGCGTAGGGCGCATCACCGACAAGATTTCATGCAGTGGGGCCCGCGGTTTGAATTCTAATATGTTATCGTTACTGGGTGCCATGTGGCACCCTTAAGGCCGTTGGATTTCAACGGCTATTTTTTTTAGACCGTTGGATTTCCAACATTAAAAAAAAATTCAAACCTCCCTCAACGGCTAGATGACATGGCACAATCTCAGCCGTTCGATTCCAAATCAACGGTCCACGTTTTTCGACTTTAAAAAATTTTTTAAAAAAAAGAAAAAAAATTGATATGTTACCATTATGCCACATGGCACAATCATAAGGGTTAAATTTCAAATTTTCTTTAATCCAACGATAGAAATTAATTAAGTTAATAAAAAATCCAAAAAAAAATTTAATTTTTTTTTAAATTTGATTTGATTTTTCTATAAATATCTTATCGAAATTTATCCTCAAAGATTCTAAATAGATTGTGACATGTGGTACAACGTGATTGGTTAAAAATCTTATCAGAAATCTATCATCAACAATTCTAAAAGGTAACAAACATGGTGCGACGGAATTGGATAAAAATCTTATCGAAATCTATAACCAAAAATTGTACTTTCGGATAATGACATATGGCGTAATGAGACCAGTTAAAAATCCTATTAGAAATTACAAATAAAATTATTTTTTATTATTTTAGAAAATAAAAAAATACTAATATTTAATTGCATATTGTCATGACTATTCAGTTTAGGGATGGAGATGCAAAAGACAATTATTGTTCATTAAAGGCAATTACTATTTAGTGGAGGGGATTCAATTGTCAATTGCCTTGGGGGACCTTTCTACACTGGAAGTGCTCTAAAGATGAGGCAATTGGAGGAATGGCAGAAGCCTGTTAGACTGCCTTGCCAATTCTCGCCTGGACTTGAGCTCATAGGCAATGGCCAACGTCATCAACGATGTCAACAGCAGACGAAGGGCCCCCCACTTGCAAGCCACAGAGCCAAATGACTCTTGTATCCGTGCGCTTCAGCCGCTGAATTCCAATGGACCCTTGATTTAGACCGTTAGATTTTCAAAGGTAAAAAAAATTTGCAAAAGAATCTGCATCTACCATGTGGCGCAATCTGGGGCATCCAACGGTTAAAAATCAACCAAGATAAATTTAATGGTAAAAAATACAAAAAAAAAAAAAAACTAAAAATACCCAAATTTTTTTTTCCATAAATACCTAACAATCTTCTTCATTTCCCACAGCATAACTCAATTTTTTTTCTACTACAATCTCCTATATTTGTTTTCTACTTCCCAATTCCTTTTGTTACCAAAAAAAAAAAGAGTAAGAGGTCAATTAATTAGTTGATCAAGGAAGACGTTGCTTTGCTTAAGTGTTGAGTGCGTGTTACTCATGACCCCATCATGAAAATTAGATGATGGTGTAACAAATATGGACGAAGATTCATGCACAATTTGTCAAGCAAATTAAGGGCACATCTCAGATCGAGCAATTTCTATTATGTAGGCCCTCATAGGATCGGAAGCAATCTATCGAAGTGGCAATAATCTATCAAACGGGGTAATAACATTTTATTATTAAAAAATTTCAGATGTATTATGTAATTTATTATTTTATTTCACAATTCTTTTTTCAACAACTACAAGCATAAATGTGGTTCAATCTTGATAACAACAAAAGATCATTCATAAAGCAAGAAGGTCGAAACGTTGTGAAGCATACTTTGAAATACAAAACTATTGCCATACGTTGTGAAGCATACTCCAAAGTCCAAGTTAATGAGAATAATATTATTTTAACATCTTTGGCGGGTTGTAATGCTATGCTTTTGTCTTGTTTGTAAAATAAATTATTGAAATTAGAAAATCATTTTATTTTCATAGAACAAACTTATAAAGCATACAAAATATATTTGTGAATAGTGTCATTGCCCTTCACAAAAGAGTGGACTTATACAAAGATAATTACTGTTTAAAGTGAATAGTAAAAGCAAATTCACTGCCCTTACCCATGCCTTGCTCTTGCCCTCCTAAAAGGGATGGACTCTCTCTTAGCCCAATCTAAAACTATACGAATGTTGGATTAAATGATATAGAGGATTAGGATCGTGGGACACCTATCTTTTGACACATTTTGACCTCACATGACGTGACGGGGATTATAAATATAGCTAAGACATTGTGATCTCTACTTGTTCTGCAATGTCATCCTCCTCCTGACCTTGAAAAGAAGATGACACTGGAGAAGATCTAGAAAAAGAAGAAATGGCAGAAGAAAAAGAAGTGGAATAATAATAATTATGATGAGAAGGAGCAGCTGCAGCAGCAGAAAGAGCAAGAAGGAGATCCACAAATGCTGCCACTATAAAGCCATGGTTGTTCTTCTGGTTGACCTTCAAATACCATCCCAACAGTTCCTCCAAACCCTCCCAATCTTTACTAAGCCCATGACATTCCACCATCTCCTCCATTGACCTCCTAAAATCTTTCAACGGATCCTCCGATTCCATGATGGCTAACACCACCACGTACTTTTCCTTCAACAACGGATTCATCATCTCTCCTCCGCCGGCGCCTTTCGCCTTTTGTACCATGGAGCTCGTGTCTTCCGCCTTGAAAAACAGCCTCTCGGATATTGCCCCTCGAACCACCACCGTATCCAAGGACTCCTCTCCGTCCTCATGATCACACTCGGTTGTTGACTGATTATCTGAGGAGGAGGATGAGTTTATGAACCAAGACTGATCAGCTCCTCCTTCCGTAATTGGATCGAAGAAGACGGAGTTGACAGTCTTGAACATGTTGTCACTGCCACTTCCGGCTCGGAAGGAAAGCGTCTTGGGGTGGTTGCAAGAGGGCCAGTACTGCCATGGCACTGCCGATGTGGCTGCTAACGTTGTTGTTTCCTTCTTTTTGAAGAGACGAGGCAACTTCATTGGAAGGATCCAATCCAAGACGTCGGTTGGAGAGCTTACAAAGTTGGTTGGTTTCGATCGGAGGATGTTTGCTGTGAAGTTTGTGATGGCATTAATAATATTGTGATAGATCATATATAGAGCTGGCCAGTTACAACTTACGATAAGAGGAGATGAGTGATATTTTTAAAAAGGAGAGTAAATGGAAGATGGAGAGAAAATGGGGTTTTGCTGACGGTGGTGGTGGTGGTAGGGCCTTTTCATGTGTGTATTCAATTCCTCGTTTGTACAAAATTGAATGGTGTTGAATGCCTCCCCCCATCAAAACATAAAATTTTCTGTAGGGCTAGAACACAGTTCGCTATATTAATTGTTATAATATAAATAGTACCGAGGCATGTTTTCAGTATACTGAAAAATCTTTACATCAAAACAGCTCAACAAAAGAATTGATTTATTAAACACCATTTTTAGTCTTCTACACACTCCTATTTAATCATGACCATTGATTTTGTTTGATTTATTCAATCCGATAACTATAAATAAAAGGGGGTGCAAGAAGCTAAAAAACAATGTGTGACAATCACATCCTAACAAATATTCTATGGTGAATACTATAGGATTTTTAACCGTTAAATCTTGATTTTTCTGTTTTTGATCAAAGACCTAATAGTTAAAAAGTCGGAGAATTTGATTTGATATTTCCAACTTTAATAATGCTATTCTTACCGTACCATCAATTAAAAACCTTTTCATAAACCAATAATTATTAAAAAGTTGGTAAATTAAATTATGATTGTGGTGTACAGGATTTCCCCTTTCAATTCTGCTTCCCACCTCCCCCAGTTTTTTTTCCACACCAGTCGTCCAATAATTCTGCTTCTTTCTTCCCCTAAACTCTTTTATTTGATCATATTGAAATTGATTATGATTACGATCATACTGTCAAATAAAAAGAGCCCTTCTTCTTTTTCGGAGGCCACAATCATAATCAATTTCATAAACTCTTTTGGTTATGATTATGATTACAAAACTGACGTGTAAAAGAAGAAATCAAACATAACCAAGCAAAATTCATACGACCTATTTAAGAGGGAACGGCTGAACCCATCATATACAATTCTCCTTGCCCAACGTCTTTATGAGGAGATAGAGATTACAACCTCCTAAATAGACTACTCATTTTGTGAAACTTTTATCTTGTCTTTTCCTTTTTTCCCCCATTATCCTATTTATTAATTATTTTCACTGACACCGAAAATGAGATTCCGAACTTATAACTTCTTCAAACAAAGAAATCCCACTAGGCAAATGAATTTGTACGCGTTGCAAAACACTAGACATGAAAAAAAGAAACTCTAGCCGCTGTGAAGATTACTCACCGAGCTTCAGTTCTGTATCACTTTCAGTCGTAAAGACATAAAATTTCTTGTGGTGACTTGGTTCGAGCGATGCTCAAATTTAAGCACACTATCATCTTGTAAGTGGTGGACGTTCCTAATAGTTAGGGTCTTCCTCTTCAACTCATTACATTTCGTGCGTAGAAATATGACTCTTTGTATTGATTTGGATAAAATACTACTTAATATATCCCTAATTCGTTTCTCTCTCTCTCTCTTGCCGCACCTCATTCTTTGTCTCTCTAAATTTTGACCTACACAATTTTAATGTTGTCCAATGGCATGTTTGCTTCCCGAATTAAATTTGGTTAATGAAGTGGTCAATCGCAGGAGGTCAACGAAGCATGTGCATTTTAAGATGATTAAGGTGGGTAGGAAACAAATAGTTCACTGTTCATGTACAACTATTTTCCCTTCAAAACAATAAAAAAAGTCCATCATTCGGAAGACATTACGATCCATATTCGGACAATCGCATCTTTTATTTGGATTGAGTAGAACATGAGAATTTAGATTCATGCATATCTTCAAGGAATTAAAATTACATAACTCAACCATATTAGTGATGTGTCTTATAATTTTAAGGCTTATTTTTAGTTACATCCTCCGAAACTCTATTTTGATTTTATTTTGCTTTTTATAACTTATAAGTTATTATTTTATTTCCTGAAACTTAAAATTTTTTCTACTTTGACTTGTAAGCTATCTCTTCTCTCTAAAACTTATAGGTCGCCTCATAAAATATATGTAGGACTCAACACTCATAAGACTATGCCATATATGCAATAAATTTGATTATAAATCTCCATTATGAGTTAATATTAAAATATTAGAGAATATTAAATTTAAAAGAAATTAAAGAGATGAAAAAATTGATTAGCATGGCTCACTCAAATTATACTCACATAAGAAATCTAAGTCAATGTGGAGCAAATTTGAATTTATAAAGACGACTTTCAACTTTCAAGAGCAAAATGGGATCAAAACTAAGTTTCAGGAGGCAAAGTGAAGTAAATTTTGAGTTTCAGGAAGTAAAGTGGTAACTTTTGAGTTACAGGGAACAAGGTGAGATTAAAATCGAATTTCAGGAGGCGTAGCTACTAAGGCTAATTTTAATGATACATACTCATGCTTAATTTGTCCATTATTTTTATTTGAGTTATTCAATCCAACGACAAAAAATAAAGAGAAGTGTGAGATAAAAAGAGTTTGAAAAATTAGCTCCGTAAGAATACGATTTGGCACACATGCTTGGATTTCCTCCTGCTTGACTTTTTCTTCTCGACGTGCCACCTTACTATTTAAAATTCATTTGAGGGCTTGGAGTTGGACACATAACATTTAAGAAAAACAACGAATTGTGTCACTTGGAAAAACCCAAACAAAACCTAATTGCCGTTTCTGTTCAAAAACTTGAAAAATTCAAATAAAAAATAAGTTCTGTACAAAAGAACATTTACGCTAACAAAGAATCATGATATCAATAATGGCACTGGTTTTCATCCTGCTAAAACCATTCCAGCAATCTAAAATTTCTTCAACCTCACTGCTTTAAATGAAGCTATAGAGTCCGGACCAGCGTGCATAACGTCTGGATGTGCAGTAGCGTGCTATATCCTTTGTTAGTAACATGATTTAGAAACGGGTTCTGTCGTTTAGACCATCCTCTCCATAAATTCATCACCGTTTATTCTACTAGCAAACTCCGTATCATCATCGTCACTGATAACATCTATTTCTTCATCACTGTCCACATCTGAACTTCCATCTAAGGTATGAAATGAGCTCCAATCAGGTGGGAAGGTCTTCTGCAGGGCTTCTGTAAGCTCCCCACCTGTTGTTTCAATCTTGCGTAAGCACCTCGACCAGTGAACTGCAGTTCCCATATCAACAGTCAACCCAGATTCAATCATCTCTTTACAAATGGACAGAAGGCCCGAGTAGATGTAAACTTCAGCAACAGTAGCCCTTGACAGCAGAGATGTCATCAAGCAATGGTATACAGCTCTGTCCGGCTTCAACCCAGCTGACTTCATCTCTTTGAAGCATCTCAAGGCCTTCTCTGGGAGAGAAGCACGCGCCCAACCCTTTATCAACGTAGTGTAGGTTTTCACATTTGGCTTCACTCCAAGCGCTTCCATTTCTTTAATTATTTTTTCAGCTCTCTGAAAGAAAGAATGTAAATAAAATGAACTGCTGAACCAAATTGATAAATTTAAAATGAAAACGAGGTTAGTTTAGTTTTCTAATTCTTGTATTATAAGGCCAGGGTTTTGGCCAACTGAAATCAGAAAGATGACAAATTTTTGCAGTTATGAAAAACATCATTTTCCATTGCTTTCTAATGCATAACAAGTCACGAAATCCATCTGTAGAATGTAGTACTTAAATAAAAGTGCGACAAATATGAAATATATGAAATAGACATTTTATTCGTAGAAGCTCAAAATGGTGATGAAAGAATGGTCATATAAGTTATACTTCTTGAAATAAAATTATCTCCAACGACCTGACAAAATTGTAAAATACCTGCATATCTCCAGCCTTGCAACAAGCATTTATGAAAGATGTGTAGGTGTGAATATCAGATCGAACCCCTTCCTTTTTCATCTGCTGCATCAAGTCAGCAGCCTCCCAAACATCACCTCTTCGAGCCCATCTGCATAAAGAAGGCAGGTTCAGAGGCAGCGAAAATAATCAACTAAAGAGAAGAATATATTGAAAAAGTAGATTCCAGTAACTAGACATAAAACATCCTACAAAACAAAGAAGAAGACGGTAGAATAAAGACCGACGAAAGTACTAGTGTGAAGTATATCAGTGCACATTAAAAAATTTAACAACCCATACCCATCAATTAATATGTTGTAAACAAAGGTGTTCCTTGGAATGCGTTTAGCACTCATTTCTTTGGTGACCGCTAATGCACTTTGCATTCTGCCTGCCTTGCAACATGCCTTCAGCAAAGCCTCATATGTGAACACATCAATCTCCAGGCCCTCACTCCTCAGTTTGGTAAAATACTCAAAGGCTTTGCCAGTATCACCTAAAGCTGCATAACCATGCATGATAGTTGTGTATGTGTGCTCGTCTGGATTTATGCCTGCTAGTGTCATCTCATCCAATATTTCAACAGCCTTCTGCATCTGCAACACTTACTTTCATTTCAAATTTGAATCATAATTGCAGTGGACGAGAAATCAAATAATGCATAATCTTTTATCGTTAAAATTTGAACGTTCCCGAGTAGAGAAATTTGATATATGTGTGTGTGTGTAAGTATGTATGTGTGTATTATATATAATATATGATTGTATATGTATATAATATATGTATTGCAGCTCAAGGATATTTACCTGCCGCTTCTCCACAAGACCAAGAACCAGAGCATTAAATGTATGCACAGTGGGAATGCACCCACTCATCCTCATCATATCGAAAATCTCGAGGGCTCTTCTCATTTCTCCAGACCTTGCAAAACCATGTATTATTGGCATAAACGTCCGTGATGTAGGTCTATGTCTCTCCCGCTGCATTTCTTTAATGGTGCGAATGGCACGGTCCATGTTACCCATTCCACAGAAAGCTGTTATAATGTTATTGTAAAGGACTACATCCGGCTTCAACCCATCCTTTACCAAATCTTCTACAACTGAAAATGCATTAGTCCAATCTTTTAACTTCAAAAATCCATTGATTAACATGGAGTAGGTCTTCATGTTATGCTTAATGCCAGCTGATTCCATCACTTTGCTAACTTCCAGGGCTTTAGAAACTTTTCCAATCTGAAATTCAGATACCAATCTTCAAATTAGTTGTAACTTATATACAAAATGATAACAAGTACAAACTTATAGACTTGCACCCCCAAAAATAATTGTAAATCAGAACTCAAGGAATTCAAAGAAGGAACAAATGTACAACCACTAAAGCAATGGACCCAGCAAGAAAATGACGAGGACAGCAGTAGTCAAGCAGCATTGCACCAGACAGGTTACTCTTCTCAACTCAGACTCTCACCAGCAAGTAACATGTAGCAAAGAAACTTGAAGACATAAAAATTTGGCCCAGTTCAATCATTATGAATTTTTTTGTTCCTTAGCTTTTCTTCAGGGGATCAATGTTACCACCCTCTTAAAGTTATATTAGGTGTTTTGGGTATGAATCCCAAATTGGGACCTTGCATGTGCTTATAAGTAAATGGGCTACTCCCCATATTACCAATTGATTTTATGATGAAACCCCAACTTCCTTTATAGTATCAGAGCAAGCTGACCTATGTGTGAAGCCCAACGGCCACACGTTACCCGATTTGTGTTGTCCATAAGATGGAACCCCAACTTCCCTTATAGTATCAGAGCAGGGTGACCTATGTGTGAAGCCCAACGGCCACACATGCCCCATGTTACCCGATTTGTGTTGTCCACGTGTTAGGCTTGAAAATTCGCCACACGTCAGGGGGCGTGTTAAGAGTATGAATCCCACATCAGGGAAAGAAGGGACCTCGCATGTGCTTATGAGTTATTGGGCTACTCCCCATATTACCAATTGGTTTTATGGTGAAACCCCAACTTCTTCATTGGGATCGTCAGGTTATCGTGAAGCAAGAACTACATTATTCATTCATTTTGATTGGTGGTCCTCAGCAGAAAGGAAGAGTACTAAAGAACGTTCTAACCACTCAGTGGATATATACTTTTATGTATAAGATTGAAAATCTAACATGACAGAATGAAACAAAGAAGACTGGAAGAATAACACCATCTTGGGTTTATAAACGGAATCTGGAAGGCCTACTCTTTATTTCTTAGGTTGGCCTAGGAACTGAGTTATCAAGTAAGCTTATTCTCATAATGATATTTAAGTTTTAAAACTCCAAGTTGGCCTTATGAGGAAGCGTTCCTAAGGTTCCAAAAATATAATTGCTCATAATCGACAATGTGTGTATTAACTAAATTGTGAGCCCTTAATGATAGCACAAAGGATAAACTTTGAAACAATTGGTTGTTACTTTTATGTGAAAAGGGAAAAAAGGACAGGAAAAAAAAAGCCATACCTTAATGTAAAGATTGATCAGACATCCATAACTGATAACTGAAGGTGTAAAGCCACATTCCTATATGCCAATCAGCAAGTATTAGTATACAGAGAAGAAATATGGCAAATCTTTATGGACAATGAACAGTCACGTTATTGGATGAAGACATTATACATCCCCTATAAGAAATAGTATAAAGTTAGGGTATTTAGGGCCTTGGAAAACCACGTCTTTAAGTTATAGGCAAGAGTTAAAAGCTTGACAGACAATCTAAGAACCCTTACAGGCAAAAGAGAAGAATAGGCTGCATCATTAGCAAACAATTCTTCAAGTTTTCTGTTTTAAATTTCCTTGCATCGTAAGCAAACAATTCTTAAATTTTCATTTCTCTACTAGTATATATTAATATATTACATATACTTGCAACAAAGTTTTCTGTTTAAGTTTCCATAAAAAGCTCGTTTAACAAACTCCTATATTTAAATTCTCTATCACTTGTGTATTCATATACTTGGAACAAACTATTTCATATACTTAAACAAAAAAAAAACATTTGTTCTAACATTCCCCATAAAGCTCCCCTTATTAAATTACTGATTCAATACTTAGCTGGCAACTATATCTTGATTTCATACTTGTTTTTTTATCAAAAGTTTAACGTGCATAGACATCTTTCATACCCGATTAACTAATCATTAGTCTTTGTTTATAAAGAAGTCTTCTATGTTTTCAATCAAAAAGAACTTGTTTAGTCAGAATTACAGTTCAATCCTCTGTTTAACCATAAGATATTTTTTAAATTCTACAACATAGAAAAGAAATCTGGTTAAAACTTACCAGTATCATTTGATTAAAAAGAGTAATGAGACTTCTTAAATTGAACTGTTCATAAAGGAACACCAGCATAGATGAATGTATACATGCACAACTTAGGCAAGAAAAACACTTTTATTGAAGCTTGTACCTTGAGTCGTTCAAACACAATCAAACATTTATCTTCATTCCCCATAATTGTGTAGCCATCCATCATGGTATGATAAATGTCAATAGGAGCATCTATGCCTGCTTCTTCCATGTCCCTCACTAATGCCTCGGCGCGATCCATATTGCATGTTTGACTGTAATTCAAGCAAGGCAGAAATAACATAAAGTTTAAAAACAAGAATGCATTGAAAATGCATCTTACTTGCATAGTTACATCATATTAAGATGACCCCAAACAGAATTTGGGGCAACAATGATACATAACACATGATAAGCTAAGAGAAAAATCATTAATGCAAGAGAAGTTAAATCAAGAGTTATATTAACCCTCTTGTCTTTCAGATTTTAGAAAATGGGCGTAGTACTCATAATTTGTGTATGCATAATGACCGATACATGTATAATGATACCAAAATGAATGGGACATAAGACAGAATTTGCAACACTCACCAATAAGCATATATAATATTCCCATAAATGATTGCATTCAAAGTTGTATGTCTCTCTTTGGCCTCCTTAAACCAGAAATCTGCAGCTCTTCCAAACAGATCAAATAGAATTAAATTAAGGACAGACAAAAGTAGCTCTGTTTCAGTATAGATGAGAAGTTAGCATTAATAAAACAATCAATCGATCACCTAGATTGTGTGTCATGACTTGAAATTTAAAATGAAGGTGGCAAATTTCTACTAGGGAAACTTGCACATATACCCCCTAGGTTCTGAGGGGGTGCACAAATACCACCCGTTTTTATTTTTTGTAGACAGTTTTACACCTAGATTACTAATAATCAAACCATACCAATGACTAAACAGATGGTCCAAACTACAGTGCACATTAATGAAATTTGCCCAAATTCTCAAACGCAAAAATTGTGAATGTACCAAATGTATCAGTGAAACAACTTTAATTAGCACCTTATAAAACCACTATAATTACTAGGAAAATGCGCTAAACTACATATGTATATTGCTTGCTTACTCAGCATTGCCAACTTTTGCGAATCCCCCAACAACGATACTGTAAGTCACCAAACTCATTTCAATGCCCTCTTCCTTCATTTTTCTAACACATGATAATGCTTCATCCATGTCTCTGCCAACTGCATAAGCGTGAATAAGGCTGCACATAGTATAAAACTTCTAATGTCAGGAAGAGGAAACCGAAAACTCTAAAGTACATACTCCTAGAGAGATTTACACTTTTTGATATGATTGGACCCTATAGTTGTAATGCAAACTAGAACAAATTTCATAATGTGATTCTTTGATCATTTGGGTGAATTTAGGCTTCCCAATTCTCACCCTCTTGTTGTGGGTTGAACTTAAAGCTTTGATTAAATAGAGCAACCAAATCCAAAACCAATTGGTATTAGGAGCAGAGACTCATGACATTATATATTGCAACGTGAGGCTTTACATTCTTGATGTGTCATATACTCTGACCAAGTTCCTTCACATGCTGTGTTACTAAAGTCAAACACGTGGACAACTCATATTCAAGTGACATGAGAGCATGTGTGGCCGGGTGGGTGTAACATGTGGATTACCTTTTTTGATGCCATGATAGAATTAGATCACCCAGCCCTAAACCAATTGGTATCTAGTGTAAGGCAAGGCTTTACGTTCCCGGTGTGGGATATACTCTCTCAACAAACCCCTATGGGCATCCCTCTTGTAAACATTGAGAGGAATTACCATGACTACAAGGGCCAGCGGTAGTGTGATTTGAGAGTAATTTCTTTAACACATTAAACCAAAAATAAATGTGCACTGCAACTTACATTAAGGGCATAAGCTCAAAAATATCACCAACAGATACGCTGAAATAAAGGCCATAAGTTTTTTTTTTTCTTTCGATTACAAGGCCATGAGTTTTATCAATCTTCCTCTATTGTAAATTTGTAGAAGATTCAAAACATCCCTAAACTTCTAATTTAACAAATGAAGTCTCATTAATCATCCAACAAGTCAGAATAAAATTCAGTACAAGTTGTACAACTCAACAGTCAACAAAGCCTTTATTCATAAAGGAGAGTCTGAACTATATGAATCCTCTTAAATATTGAATGGGCTTTATTAAAAATTTGCATGAGAAATAGCATGAAAATTTAACCAAATTAACAGTGATCTCGTATTCTAATTACAAACTCAACTCAAAGCCTATAATAAAAGTGGGATGTCAATCACGCGAGTCCTTAATAAAATTACCTGGAGTCTATTCAAGAATATCAAACATCACCAAAACCATTTTTGAAACTTGAGTTTCATATTTTCGAATTCAATACATAATCCATTAAAGTTTTTCGTTAAACTTCTTCGTAAAATTTGTTAGAAACAAAAGAAAAAAGAAAGAGAAGTAGAAGCAGGTGCTTGATTTCTGAAATTATAAAAGAAGACTTGCTAATACTTCCCAGAAATTACAGGATCATTAACTTACCCAAAATAAAAGTTGGCCCAAAAACTATTACAGAGAGCTTAAGTTATGAATGATTTACGCGAAGTATTACCTTGTGTACACATGTGATGTTGGTTCTATTCCTCTTGCTCGCATGCTCTCAAAAGTTTCACGAGCACGATGCATGTCCCCTCGCCTTGCATAATACTTCACCATCAGGCCATATTCTCCTCTGGAAGGCTGGTGTCAAGAAGAAAAAAGACATAGGATAAACACCTGTGTCATGCACATATTACCTAAGCAACCATTCATTGACTAAGTACCACATAATGCACGGATATATGAATGTAAATAACGTGTTGTGTGATGAGTATTCGAATTAATGTTTCACCAAGTGAATTTGAAGGTGATTTTCATTATTAGCAATAGCATACAGCATAAATTCAAACAGCTATACACATCGAAACAAAATATGCCTGAAGATGTTGACATATAGTGAATGTGAAATGCATATAAACTACGAGCGTTTACCTTCTTAATTCTCTCAAAAAACCGAACAACTGCTTGCCAATTCTCAGGTTCAGTATCCATAACCTTGCGCAATGCCTTACGCGAGTTCTCCCGCTCTTTATGCCACTGAGACTGATACTCAACACTGTCGTGCCCTTCAAGCCACCGTGTCCTCTCCTCAGTTTTGTCCTTCAATCTGCTCCCATCATCCAATTTGACGGTCAGAACCCTCCCATGGAACTCCATGCCATCGAACTCCACAGCCTTTGTGGCCGACTTAGCTGCAGTCTTACCACCATAAATAACAAACCCGAAACCTGCATTTCTCTCAGTGCTTGAATGACCCTTAATCAGAATCACACTCTTTATGGGCCCAAATTGCCGGAAAAGGTCGGAAACCTCATTTTTCTTGACCCAGTTGGGCAAATTTCCCACAAAGATTTTACCCTCCTGCCGCAACTCAACTTTGGGTAGCTCCGAATTCTTTCCGGGCTCATTGTCCTTGATGGGTTTTTGGGTTTCTTCAGAAGTATCTGTTTCAGGCGGCGGAGGTGGAGAAGGAGATGGAGGTGGAGGTGGAGGTGGGGGAGAGAGCTTGCTAGTGAGCCAAAGCTTGTCAGTGAGCGGGTGTGAATTGGCGTTGGTGGTGGTGTTAATTGGTGGGGTAGGGACTTGGGCGGGATTAATGAGGTTCTTGAAGGGGTTAGAGCGGAATTTGGAGGTGGGTTTGGTGGGTGGAGAAGCGGTTTTGAGGGTTTTGGGCCGGCGAAGTTGGTTAGATGGAGGGGAGGAGCTGATGGGGCTGTCAGAATTTGGCGGCGGCGGAGGTGTTGGTTTGAGAGAGAAAGAGAGACAAGTTGTGGTGGTGGAGTGGTGTTTTTGGTTCAGGTTGAGGACGACGCCGACGGCGGAGAAGGGAGAGGTGGTGTTGGGATAGTGTGGGGTGCTGAGTGAGAATTCCATTATCCGGCCAGAGAGTAAGGACTTTGTGAGCTGGGAGTAGATGTTTCTACTTCCTAGAGGCCATATGTTTCTTTCGAGAGGGTAACTGTAGCGCTCATTTTCATTTTACAGACTGTAGATAATCCACATTAAACTTCCAAACTCTGAAAAATAGATTCAAATACGAAACTTCGGATGAAAAGTTGAATGCATTTAGTATTGAGAAAGAATTATATATCGATAGAAAGAATGACTTTGCATAGGTTTATAAGATACTACTTCTTAAATTGCCTATTGGTTTTATGATAGAACTTAAAATTTTTTATGGTATCAGAGCAGGTTGTCGAGCCTGTGAAGCTAAATGGCCACATGCGCTCCACATTGTCCACGTGTTAGGCTTGAAAATTCGCCACACGTGAGGGGTGTGTTAAGAATGAGTCCTACATTGATGGGAGGAAAGACCTTGCATGGGCTTATAGAGAGGTTGGGCTATTATCGTATTGCGAATTGATTTTACAGTCGAACCTCAACTTTATTCATTAAGGTCTAGTTTGATATTAGCTTTTTTCACCAAAAACCACTTTACTTTAAAGTTAAGCGGTAAATAAGTGTTTGGTAAAATTAAAATATTATACTAATTTTAAAAGTAATGGCCTCTAAACAACAGCTTTAAAAAACAGCATATATGTTGCTTTTAAATATTATTCTGACTATGTTCTTAAAAATGAAGAACTGAAGAAGGAAATTCTATAACTTTTGCAACAGAGCTATACAAACGGATTTGCGATGCCACCATCATCCTATTCCATAGTAATGGATGAAGTCCGACGACCTTATTGAGATTGATCGTACTTTTTCTGAAAGACACGTAAACCTGATCCAGTAAGGTTTCAGTCAGGTATCCTATATTTTTAGAATCCTTACAATCTAGAAAAATTAACTTGTGTGGATGCAAATTTCTTCCTCCTTGCCATTGGACAAAATTGCACCTACAAAACAAATAACACCTTAGGTCAATGCCAAGAGCCTCACGCACTCATGATGAATGTGGGGCTTTGGCTGAAGAACCTTTGATGCCAAAGTTAGAATTTTAAGGGAAAAATGTTTGGAGAATTTAGAGAGTTTAGCAAGAGAATTGGGATTGAACTTTGAGGAGAATGATGAGGTTTAAATAGGAGAGTGGCCAGAAGAGAATTGGGATTGAACTTTGAGGAGAATGATGAGGTTTAAATAGGAGAGTGGCCAGCCTCCTTGGATGAGAGAGGATCGATCATCTAGTTTCGTTTGTGGGCTAGGTTCTTGATTTGTGTTAAATTGAGAGTTATGGAATAATTACCTAATCAATTAGCTAATTAATAAAATAATTACCTAATTAATTAGCTAATCAATATAATAAAAAAAAAAGATTTAGGAGTTTACCTTGTGGAGAAGATTGGATGAGAATGTATGAAATAAGTTTTGAATCGTTACCTATTTTGGGCACTTTTGACTTGGTTAAGTAATGATTGCCTGCTGCTCGCACGTAGGAATCCGGGTATGCCTCAAGAGCATTTTTGTCCTCTTCTACCCAAAAATCCACGTGTCGTCTTGTGATTATTTTTTGCTCCACAAATACCCCCACATGTGTTGGGCTGCTCACAAGAAAGGGCAATGGGTTAGAGATTTTCTTGCTTTTGGAAACATAAGATTGTTTCCTATTTTGATGTTGATTCCCTCTTTAATTGGAAATTAGATCCTTCTAGGAAAGGGAAATAAATTTTCTCAAAGCCTATTTAAGTCCACCTTAAGTGGATTATTAAATCAATTTTGGAAAGCAATTTATTCTACCCTACAAGAAAGAGAGCTTAGAGGATATTTGTTCCCCTTCCTCTAGCAATCTTCTACATTTAACCCGTGCAAATGACCGTCTTTCGTTGCTTTCTTCATCTTCTTCTTCTTGGATAGTGCTGTCGTGGGGCAGCCGTCGGGGTGGTGCGTCACGTCGGCTGGCAGGGGCCAAGAGTCGACTCAGCATGGGCTAAGGAGGTTTTGTGGCAGAGACCACTGCTTGGGCTGCTTAGCTTAGCTAGAGCCAAGGGCAGCTTGCACAGCTAGAGCCGCAGATTGAGGCGCTGGGGTGAAATGCTAGGCGAGTCAAATGGTTCATGTCCTTTGGGCTCTTGGTCCTGACGCAAACAAGGCTAGCGATTGAGAGAAATGAAAAGGTTGCGGGCCTTATGGGCTACTAGAATGTTGGGCATGCAAGCCTTCTGCCTGCTGGTCTGAGAGAAAAAATGAGGGAAAAGCCAGTATAGGTTGAGCTTCCCTACTAAATACCATGAATGACATTGGCTGTTTAGTTATCTTCGCGGGAGAAAAGTGGGTTGCTCCCGAGAAATGAGATAAAGAGGATCAAGGCGGATGCATTGGCTCATCTGATCGCTGTCGTGGAGTCTACTATGAATGAAGGTGGAAAGAAGAAATATTCCCTGCCTACTCAAGAGATGCCGGTTGAGAAAAAACCGAAGACTTCCTCCGCTGTTCGTGAGGGTCCGTCTGCTGCCGAAAGGCCTGTGATTGACATGACTTCTTCTAATGGGAAAAAAATGAGGGTGCCAGATCTAAGCTTGTAGCGTCTGCCATGTTGAGAATGGCTAGTGCGATTGCTAATAGGATTGCTCAGCGTAGAGGTCCTATCATGCCCTCAATGTCGAAGCTTGTACCAAGATGTCTGTTGGGAGCTAAGTTTGGTTCACCTTTGGAGAGGCTTGCTATTATGAAAAGCGATAAGGTGGACTCTGCTGTTAAAGTGGAGCTAAGGCCCACTCATTTTGCTGTTAAAATTGATTCGCCTGCTGGGAAGGAGGAAACTGCTCGCATGGGCAGTTGTGAGAAATCCACTAAGCTTGCTTCTAGGGAGGCTGCTGAGATCTGTGTGCTCTTTAAACCAAATATGCTTGAAGACATAGATGTTTGTGTCAAGTTTGTTGATGGCATTAGAAAGGTTTGTTTGCCCAAGTTCCTTTACGAAGCATACGACCCAATATAAAAGGATTAGTCTGTTTGCTAAGATACAGATATAGCAAGGCTGCCAAGGAGGTGGCGAAGACTATGGCAGCTGAAGCTTATTCCTCGGCCGATGAGATTAAAAGGTTGGATTATGAATGGGTTTAATACTTCTGCCTTCACTTCTCTGCAGCTTAAGACCACTCGCCAAGAGATCGTTGACTTGAAGACTAGGTTTGACGTGATCCAAGTTAAGTATGAAAGTGTAGAGAATGAGATTGGATGTTATATACCTCATATCCAAGATCTTGAGTTTGCAGTTTTTGAACTTTGTTTTGCTGCTTATGCAAAGGATAAAGAGTTGATTGCTGCTTATAATTAAGTGATCCACTTCAAGAGAATCGTCGATAGGCTTGAACCCGAAGTGTTGGAACTTCAAGGTGTACTGAAGATCAACAAAAGTCTGAAGAATGAAGTAGATGAACTGCAGCACATCCATATTGGTCTGCTCGAAGAGGATGAGCAGTTGAAGGGTGAGAATGACGAGCTCGAGGTTTCGAGACTTTCTCTATTTCTCGGAAGATTTGCTTGCTTTTACTTTTAAGGCTCACATTGGTAAAGTAGTTTGAGAAGTTGGTGCCCAGGCTGAGGCGGCTAAGGGTGAAGCGTTAGATGATGTCACTGCTAAGAGCGTCGCGGCTACTAAAGGTGTGGCGACCAAGTAGTCGTGGGATATCCGAGCTGTTGAAGTGTAGTATTCTAGGTAGCCTTTAGGATTTTCTTTGTTTTTCCTTGTAGCTCTTGTTTTGCTTGAACTCCTTCAACCTTTGCTAGTTGTTTATAAACATGTTTTCTTCGCTTTTCTTCATCTTCGCTTCTTTTTCTTATGCCCTAACATTTAGAACTTTGCAAAGTTGTTAGTCATAGGGATAGCAACCAGATGCCTTACTTACAGAAGCAGACAAGTCCGTGTAACCACTAGGTTGTTAACTTTGGCTTTCTCCAATTTCGTAGGTTGCGTAGCAAGTATCACAACACTTTAGGACTTGGTGTAGGTTGTTCTATGCTTAGCAGAGGTAAATCTTATCGACTATGTAGCATGTCGGCAGTGGATAAAGCTTTATATATACACGCTAGCTTGTTTAACCTTTCACAAGAATGTGCGATTTTATAAGATAAGTCTAGCATGGCTTTACTACTTAAAGGGCAAGCCCTAAGCAATATTTTGGAAGCCATAGGTTACCTTAGTGCACTTGGTAGCAGCTTTAGGGTTCCAGGGCAGCTGTTCATCAGATGTACTGCGTAATGTGCCCCATCCGTCTCTAGGGCTCGGTTCCCTTTGGATTGGGCCAAGAGACCCAAAATCCTTCAATTAGCTAAGCCTTGAAAAAGACCATCGTGGTTATTTCTAAGAATCCCAGCGCAAGTCATCGTGTATCTAGTTATACTATGGCAGCCAGGCTCATCCACGTCTGGATATTCGAAGTGTAGAGTTTATCCTCTTGTCTTGGAGAGTTGACCTATGTAGGTGTCGGGGAATTGGTTTACCTTCTCGCATTGGAGAGCAATTAGTTTACCCTTTCGCACTGAAGAGCATAATTGGTCCCTCGGGGGGCGCAATTCCTGCGATGAGTCCCTAAGAATGGCAACATCTTCTTTTGAAATGCAGGAGTGATCAGTTGTTGTAAACATGCAGCCGAGCCAAGTTGTGATTACTTTTGAATTCCTCATTGAAAAACGAGTGAAAAGAACGAGAACTTAGCTGTAAGGTAGGAACTACATAACAACTGGATAGTCCTCGGCTTGTGAGGTGGTGCCCGTCGAGCTGCTTGAGTTTTCAGGCTTTAATGTAGCAGGAGGTTACACATGGTACTTCCTCAGATTATAGGCGTTCCACTGCTTTCCGATCTTTTTGTTATTTCATGGCGACGATGGTGTAATTACCATTGCTGCCTACTCTGCTGATCTTGTACGGACCTTCCCATATGGGATCCATCTTTTTGGTACCTTCTCTGCAGGCAGTGATAAAGGCTTTTCTTAAGACTAGATTTTCAAGCTGGAACTGCCGGATGTTGGCCATTTTGTTGTAGTTGGAGAGGAGCTGCTGCTGGTAGGCTGCAATGTAGGTGATGGTCTGTT